TTCGGGCCTAGACCCTTCATCAGAAAAGGGTCTGATGAAGGGTCTAGGCCCGAAACGTCAGCCTCTCTGCTCCTATGATGCTGCTTGGCCTGCTGTGTTCATCCAGCCCTGCATCTTGTTGTCTCGGATTCTCCAGCATCTGCAGTTCCTACTATCTCTGATTAATCGGTCAGCTTGGTTTTTAATGGTGGTGGTAGAATGTTGGCAAAGGCAGCAGAAGACCTGTCTTCTATATTTGTAATAGTGTCACAGTCATCTCAACTGACCGGTTTAAACTCATGAGAAGAATGGACTACTTAGTAGTACAATGCGCTCTGTCTCTCTCAAAACCATACCGAGAGATATCACACAATGTGCTCAATCCCTGATTGTGGTTTGAACCCACAACCTGCTGACTCTGAGGTGAAGTAATTTGATGGACAATGAGAATTAGGATGTTTTCTTTATTCTATGCGACAGGATTCAGGTATGGATTGATTTATTTGGCCAGTAAGTGTTCACATTTTTGAATTGTTTTTATATTTACTAAGAATTAATGTATGCCCTTTTAAAATGGATCACTTCCACGATTATCCACCAGATGTTATGAAGGAATTTTTATTTGAAATAGGGAGTCTTGTGCTCACTGCCATTATTCTAACCTAAAACCATTCTAATTCTTGATTTCTGATCATTGAAGATGGTATGACTCATACGCTACAGCCTCCAATGGTCAGAAATGGGAAATGCTCTGGTTAATGCAGGGCCAAGCTATACTGGTCCAGCACAGTCAATGTTTCCTCCGTGGCAAGTTAGGAACTTAAGTCAGTGCAGATCGGAAAGTGAGAGATGGACAATCAGTAAGGGATGTATCAGGGGTTGGGGTACTGTGCAGATCTGGCCAAATTTAAATAAAAAACGAATTCTGCCACATTGATTTAAGAATCCTGTCTGATTGTGTTTACAGTTGGAACTACAACTTGAGGAGTATAACTATGAACACACAGAGACGAGGATTCAGAATGAAAGATTGAGGCAGCTGAATGAGGACTTGCAGGACCAGCTGGATCGGATGAAGCAAGACTTAGAGATGACACGACTAAACCTTCAGGTCCTTCAAGATGAGGCTCGCTATGAACATCAGCAGAAAGCCAGGTAGGTTTCTTTACTAATTGAGTTCAATAGGCAAAATGCTTGTCAGCCATTATTGTTTACCAGGGGATTCAGGTCAGCTCCTGTACTTTTCTTCAATCTCATACTCTACACAACCATCATCATCCCTGTTGACCAATGGGAGAGCAGCTAAGATAGCTTTAGAGTCCTTAGGAACACAAGGCTAATCCTCAGGATATTGCTGGGACCCAACCTGGGAAGAAGAATCATAGCAGCATTAAAAACAAACTCTTGCAACAATTCTGTTTATTATTGACAAAAATGGTAGGCAAAGGAAAGAAACAGTTGTTTAATTGGCAGCCAAGAATCATCCAAAACAAAACAATCATCCAAATAGAGAATGAAGGTTTTGTTTAGAGTTGGACGTGTTGAGTGACCTTTGTGGGGTCTGTGGGACAAAGTAAATGGTTGCAGAAGTTCGTGTAATGAGTTCTGTGGAAATACATCCTATCAGTTGACAATAGGTAAGGTATGCTTTTGCCAGTTCCTGATCATGACCAAGTCGAAAAATCATCACTACCTTCCAAAACAGTCTTCGGCCAGAGGTTAGATTTTAATTACCGACTCTAAGGAAAGAAAAGTTTGCTTTCTGCATCTCCACTCCTCCTGTGCTCTGCTGGCTTTCAAGAAAGGTTATCCTTCACAGCTATTTGGTCACAGATAAAGTTGCAAAACAGAACAGAATGATGAAGTTGATTTCTGATGGGGATTTGAGTATTCAAGGTACACTTCAGAAGTGATTCCTCTGTTATGGAGCATTTTGCCCACATCTTGATGTGATGACGAGGTGCTATGTATAAGAGAATTCTTTGGTTGACTAGATCGGCAGTGTAATTTAAATGTGGATTGTGTCTAATCAGTGTGTGCTGTCGTTTAGAAGTCAATTTGTTTGTCATCCATAAATAGATTAAAATATGAATTCATCTGGAACCCTCTGACCTTTTAGTGTATGTTTCTATTGATCATTTGACCATCGTTTCTAAATTAAGTTATCTGACCACAGTGCATTGAGTATAGGAACTGGGAGGTCATGTAGGGGCTGTAGAGGACATTGGTAAGGCCACTTTTGGAATATTTCATTCAATTCCGGTCTCCCTGCTATTGGAAGGATGTTGTGAAGCTTGAAAGGGTTCAGAAAAGATTAGCAAGAATGTTGTCAGGGTTGGAGGGTTTGAGCTATGGGGAGAGGCTGAATAGGCTGGGGCTATTTTCCCTGGAGCATCGGAGGCTGTGGGATGACCTTTATAGAAGTTTATAAAATCATGAGGGGCAAGGATAGGGTGAATAGCCAAGGTCTTTTCCCTGGATTAGGGGAGTCCGGAACTAGAGGGCATAGGTTTAAGGTGAGAGGTGAAACATTTAAAAGGGACCTAAGGGGCAACTTCTTCAAGCAGAGGGTGATGCGTGTATGGAATGAGCTGCCAGAGGAAATTTTGCCCATGGCTGGAGTAAATCTCGACAAAACCACATTGCTGTCATAACCTGAGGCCTAAATCCAAATTTTGTTCTTCACTGTGGCAGATTACAATAGCTGACTACTGCAGTTATTTATAACCATTCATTCACTCATTTTTTTCCCAAAATTAATGCAATAGTGAGTACTGCTGTCGGGAGTTTTTCCACAATATACGTACGTCTTGTGAGATATGGGAAAACAGTTGGCCCATTTAGCACCATTCACAAACCTATTAAGCAATATCACAAGCTAAGTTGAAAGATCTACTTTTATTTACATTATATATTCTTCACTTTAAATATTTGACTCAAGTATCAATTCGTTCTTTTGCCTAAGAGGTCAAGTTGGGAGTAACACATTTAAGTTTAGCATGTATTAAATAATTTAGTAATCTCCAATACAAGTCATGTTGTGTTGTCAATGCACATGTATAGCAAAGTAAGCTGGAGCACTCTAAGGCTAATTGAATCTGATTTATTCTTGTAAAGGCCCACGAATGACAAAGAAAAGATCTGACTAATGGTCCACAAATTGAGTGAAAAATTAAAGATGCTATTGCGAGAGCCTTGTAATTAATGATATGCATAAAGTCACAACTTGACAGTAACATTGGTTGTCTTTTGTCAAGAGAATGGTAACATTGTTGTTGAACTTGTTCTAAGCATCTGTCCTTGATTGTAAAATGAAGTCAGCTTTCAGGGTGAGACAAGAGACTGCTGCCCTATTTGTTTTGTCTGAACAACTATTTGGAGGATTGCGGTTTTAACTCAGTAAGTGATTATCCACGAATCCAAAACTGCTGCCATGCACGCATGAATACCGTTGAGGTCAACTGGCCTTGACAAGCTACAGGTTGCGGAAGGAGTGATCCACTTCCTCAGCCGGGTGCCAAAATGGCTGACGCAATGGCCGCCATGACAGTTGGGGCCAGTGATGTCAGCTGGCCACGATGCTGTGTCCCTCCGTGTGCTCACTTGTTGCTCCACCTGCTGGTGGCATTCACAATCAATGTGTCCCCTGGAACGATTATCCAAAATGGCACTCTGTGCATGTGCAGACATGTCCCATTTCATCAGTTGGCTGTGACAGGATGCAGGAGCATCTGTGGCGATTGCGATGCTGCTGTGTCACCAGGCTTAGGATGAGGGGGCCGTGTGTGTTGGAGGTGAAGGGGAGGTAGAGCTTGGAATTGGGAAGGCAGTGCTCCCCCTTCCTGACAGTGCTTGTAGAGTGGGCTTCTAGGCCGTGTGTTGGTCCTGCTGTGACTCTACTGTAGGAGTACCTTTTTCAGAAACCAGGAGACCATGCCTGGAGGCTGAGGCTGTATTGGTTTCCTCCCTCTCTACTATCTGCTAAGCTCCCTCACTCTTGCTGTTGAAGGAGCAGTGTCCCACCTCCTCACTGGAATATGGTTAAAATGGCTGCCAGCTCACATGAAGAAGGGACTGGTCCGGCCACAATGCTGTGTTTCTGTATGTGTGAGCTTGTTGCTTCACCTGGTGCTGGCATCCAAAATAAACACACACTCCTTTTATCTAAGTGCCTTTTGCTCCAAAACCCTTCAAAGAATAATAAATTAACAGGCATGTAACTGTTGCACTGGTGTTCGGTCATCGTGGGGGCTGGATTTTCAGAGGCAATCTCCTGCCACTTTCTCAATCTCCTTTCTTTCTACACAACAAAAGAGCCTCACACATTTGACGCACTTCCAATACGGGCTCGTTCAGAAGCACGGTACCATTCTGACAGCTCCCTCATAGTGTCGACCCCCTTGGGAGAATGCAAACCATCTCCCTTTCTCACTGTAGTCAGTTGTCATATCCTGCCATGTAGATACCTAGCATCATCACTTAGAGTCATACAGCACGGAAACAGAACCTTCTGCCCAACGTGTCCGCGCTGACCAAGTTTTCCAAATTGCACTAGTCCCATTTGCCTTCATTTGGCCATGTCCCTCTAAACTTTTCCTCTTCATGTCCCTGAGCAAATGCATTTTTAATGTTGTTAACTGTACCTGCACGTACCACTCCCTCTGGCAGTTCATTCCACATATATGAAGCATCCTTTGCATGAAAAAGTTGCCCCTTAAGTCCCTTTTTAAATCCTTACCACCTCACCTTAAACCTGTGCCCTCTAGTTTTGGACTCTCCCACCCTTGGGGGAAAAATAGACCTTGTCCATTCACCCTGTCCATGTCCCTCATGATTTTATAAACCTCTATAAAGGTCACCTCACAGCCTCCAACACTCCAGGGAAAATAGCCCCAGCCTATTCAACCTCTCCCTATAGCTCAAACCCTCCAAACCTGGCAACAACTTTGTCAATCTTTTCTGAATCCTTTCAAGTTTTAAAACATCTTTCCTATAGCAGGGAGACCAGAACTGAATGCAGTATACCAAAAGCATACAGCCACAATATGACATCCCAACTACTGTACTCAATGCGATGACCAATAAAGGCAAGTGTACCAAACACTGCCTTCATTACCCTGTCTACCTGTGACGCCATGTTCAAGGAACTATGAGCCTGCACCCCAAGGTTTCTTTGTTCAGCAACAGTCCCCATGACCCTACCAATAAGTGTATAAGTCTTGCTCTGATTTGCCTTGCCAAAAGCACTGCTGCCTCACAGTGCCAGGAGCCCACGTTCAATTCCACGCTTGAGTGACTGTCTGTTACATTTGTACTCTTGCCCAATGTCTGTGTGGATTTCCTCTGGGTGCTCAGGTTTCCTCCTGCAGTCCAAAGATGCTAACCAGTCTGCCATGCAGAACCTTGTGAAGCCTATATAGATCATGCCCACCGCTCTGCCTTCATCAATCTTCTTTTTGACTTCTTCAACAAACTCAATCAAGTTAGCAAGACACGATTTCCCATGCACAAAGCCATGTTGACTATCCCTAATCAGTCCTAGCTTTTCCAAACACATGTAAATTCTATCCCTCAGAATCCCGTCCAATAACCTACTCACCGCTGACATCAGGCTCACCAGTCTATAGTTCCCTGGTTTTTCCTTATCATCTTTCTTAAATAATGGCACCACATTAGCCATCCTCCAGTCTTCTGGCACCTTACCTGTGGTTATTGATGATACAAATATCTCAGCAAGGGGCCCAGCGATCACTTCCTTAGCTTCCCACAAAGTTCTAGGATACATCTGATCAAGTCGCAGGGATATTTATCCACCCTTTGTGTTTTAAGGCGTCCAGCACCACCATCTCTGTACTATGGACACTTTGCAAGAAATCACTATTTGTTTCTCCAAGTTCTCTAGCTTCCATATCCTTCTCCACAGTAAATACTGATGTAAAATACTCATTTAGTATCTCACCATTCTCCTGCGGTTCCACATATAGACTGTTTAATTTACTCTACCACGTCTGCTCAACCAGAAGCCCTGAAACTGTTGGTTTATCATTCATTCTTGGATTTGGAACAAGTCCATCACTGTTGAGGCCAGCATTTATTTTCCACCCTTGGTTCCCTGAGATGGTGATAATGAGCCATCTTCTGTTTTGATGTGGCTGGTGGGTTTGCAAGGCCAGTTCAGATCAGATATCGAGTATATACTGAAAACACAACGTGCAAGATAAATTACTATACTGCATTGTTCAAGGCTCTGTACACCTGCCTTTGTGTGAACTTCCCATTCACCATTGCTCTTTATATTTCCACATGTAAAATATTTATCCAAGAAAGTTGTCTAATCTGCTAGATAACTGGAGCCCTGGTGTGACACTAACTGCGCATACAGAGAGAGAAGGCCCCCAGGTTCTGTTCCTCAGTCCCATGCCTAAGCAGCAGTGAGGGAGGTACAACATGGATGCATTGTCCAAATGTAATGGATATGCAGAAGCTTTGAAACTCCTGTTCAACTGACGGTAGGCCGTATTTCTATCAATAAGGGAATGGTCTCAGTGTTGGAAGGGGATAGGGAAGGCAACTCAAATGTAACAGTATGTATCATGTGACCAAACATAACTGTGATTCCCTCCATTGAACTTCCACATGGTCAGGCTAAGCTCAAACTCCTGCAAAATAAAATCTTGAAGCTATTATTCAGTTTTTTTTCTGTGAACAGGGAAGTCCTGAAGGTGTCAAAGAACATGCAAAAGGAAAGAGAAAGTCTATTGAGACAACTAGAACTTCTCAGGTAATTCCTGTTTTTGGTATTAATCAATGGCAGGTGTGTAAAAAACATAGCTCAACCCTTGATTGTTGCTATTCCGAAAAACTGCAATTTATTTACATCAGAGATAGTGGGAACTGTCGATGCTGGAGAATCTGAGATAACAAGGTGTAGAAGGAAGAAGGGTCCAGACCCAAAACGTCAGCTTTCCTGCTCCTCTGATGCTGCTTGGCCTGCTGTGTTCATCCAGCTCTACACCTTGTTGTCTCAATTTAATTACATAATGTTTTACTCTTTTGATAAAGAATCCATTTGATGGAATTTATCTTTGGTCATTTTCCTGTTGCTGTGAGGTATTTTTCAATATGTTTATTAAATTTACCAATATTAATCAAAGTGTAAACTTGATGTTCACTATGTTAAACTATTGTCTGTTTTATGCATGGAAATGAGAGCACTGAGAAAAGTACTTCTCCATATTGGGAAATTGGAAAATTGAAATAGATAACCATTCAGCCGCTTAAGTCTGTGTTGCTGTTCCATCATTTCATAGTTGATTTGTGTTTGAACTGCATGTACCTGTTTTTGCCTCATGTTCCTATTGCTCGTATATTGTGGAAAAATATGCAGTCCTGTCACAGTGATGCTGACAGAGTCTGTCCCTGTGGAGTCATCCTGTTGTCGCACTCTCTGCAGGAAGCTAGGCATATGCCTGCTGTGCTAGCACATGTACTGAAACTGTATGATGCTTAAGGAGCAGTATGAAGAAGTAATGGCGAATAGCTCACTACTTTGGATACTGTGGACTGTTACTGTTGCCCCTCCTCTCTCCACCCCCCTAGTAGATGAAACATGCCCTTTGAATAATGGAGGGTTGGGTCTTATAGCGTCAAATAGCAATGGGTGCTTTAATAAATAAAAATAGGAAGTGCTGAAGAGAGAAACAATTAGCGTTTTGAATCCAGTATGACTCTCTTAGTTATTCTGAGCTTGAAATGTTAACCCTGTTTCTGTCTCAACAGATGCTCCCAGACCTACTGAATTTCTTCAGCACTTTGTTTTTAATTTCAGATTTCCAGCATCCGCTGAGTTTTATCTTTCTATGGATGCTTTCATATTCAGATGGCCATTTAAATCAAAGAGCCATGTAATGCTAACGATATGAGGCTCTTAAGCTAACATGATTACTATGGGTCTGAAATGGGGATATCATCCCAGAGTTGTGACTCAGTGAGCAGCATTGAGTATTTGTTAATTTGTTATGCAGAGAGAGGCACGCATATGGCCGCTAACTGCAAATCAATTCTCTTCTTTCAATCAGGGAGATGAACAAGAAACTCCGAGATGAAAGGGATGCCTATGAAGCCAAGAAGCTGGTTAGTCTCAAAAAGCGAGTTGTAGTGCAGAGACGTGACAATTGCTGCTGCTGTTGCTGTCCTCTGGGAAACTGCTATGTTCCCTGGGGCCATTCTAAACCAATGCAGCCAAATTGCACGCCTGTCCAGCCATATCATTGTGCGGGCACTAAAGAGCAGGACGGATAAATACCAAACTGTTTAATTTGCCCAGTGCTGGTTACTTTCAGAGTGGGTCAAGAAAGTAGGTTAAACCTGCTTTCGTTCAAAAGAGTGAATCTCACTTGGAAAGATGTGTCAGGTCACCTTTTAAGATGGCTTCATTTTTCATGAATGTAAGCACACTCCCTTGCACTTGCTGGTAGAAGGTAGATTCTCTGTAGTCACAAGGATTGATAGTTATCAGTTCCAATGTGCAGCAAGGAACAGAATATCTCAATATGACTTCTTTGGTCAGAACAAATTTGTTAATGGATTGTGTAGCCCTTTTCTATCTATACATTAATTTGATGGAATGCTACACCTTTTGGATGTATTTTTGTATGTTCGTAATTATTTGAAAGAAATAGTTATGGCATCTGTCACATTAACGTTTTGCAGTGTGAAACTAATTACTTACCAAAGGTTTCAGCCAATGCTACATTTTACAAACACAATTTCTAAACAAAGTAGGAGCTACTATGCACAAATGATCAGAGGTCATTTTGGCAATGTGGAATAAAATATAGGTGTGTTGATATTTATTAAGTATATTAACATAGAGGATTGAAGTTTGTAGTTTATATACACATGTAATCTTTTTATCAAGTGTTTCAAGAAACCAGAAGCTGCCGTACTGATGGATATAGTTATATGTTGTTACCAGTAGTGTTTCTGCTGCTGTTTATTCTTACAAGATTTGGACATTTTTGATAACCTGACAGAAAATACTTTTTTTCTCCTTTATAATTAGGGACCAATAAATCAGTTTTTACTTTCACCAGCAAATTCTTGAATAACTTTTGGATGGTGACTCAGTTTCCTCTCAGACATTGGAAACTTTCCTTCTGTTTTGTTCTCCTTGCCCATTGAAATTTTCCAATTGTTCTCTACATACAATGTAGCTTTTGGAGGCCTCTGTACATCACCTCCTGTTGTCAACATGCGCCTTGCAAACTGTGTGGGCCGTGCCACACTTTGAGCTCTGTACCCAGATGACCAATAAGAGATTGTCCCACATTTGCCTGCATCCTGTAGGAAATCTCCCTGGAGCTTGTTTGTTTTGTATTTCCATTTAGGCTGTGAAATTCTGGACTCCGGGTGGGCGATGAATGGAGAGTCCCCTTTTGCTGCTGCCTTCAGCCCTTTGTTGCTGGGATGAGTTTGGCGCTCTATCCATGAGGAAAAGAAGTTAGGATGGTGCAAACTGAGGCTGTGAGGAAAAAACGACAATGGTGTGAGCAGGCCCAGCCAGGGAACAACAACAAGACTGGGAAGGGACCAGAGTGGAGAGAGAATGAGGCAATGGTAAAGGTGACTGCTCCTTGAGAGCCAGGGTTCCCCATTTTGCAACCAAAGATTTGTCAGAGGCAGACACAGTATCATTCTTTGAAGTAGCAGCTGTACATCATACGATAAAATATAATGACTCCTCATGCACAGTGGACTTTTTCTTGCAGCTAAGGCCTAGCTGTTTTTCCTCAGTTGCTCAAAATTGATCACACGACCAGACAAAAGCAGAGCAAATTGTTAGAAATGTCAATCGCAGGTTGGGTATATCAGACTTCTTTCAGTTCAGATACTGAAGGCTGGGCTGTGAAGAAGATAGCTAGCTTTTCAAGATTCTCTAGTCTTTTATTCAATGGTCATTGCTTTTTACCCACTGGTCTTTTATTCCCCTTAATTTTATTCCCTTACATTTTGGAGGTTTGAAGACTTACCACAAGACATATAATAGTTTTTGTGATTGCTTTTTAATCTCCATACACGTCCGAACAATTTCCCAAAGGAGAGATTTTGCCATCGATTAGGCTCCTTAATAAGATAAGATGGTGCTGGAGGAAGCATATTAGCATGGATAGAGGATTGGCTATTGGAAAGCAGAAAGTTGGGATAAGGGGATCCTTTTCAAGATGGCAACCTGTAACGAGTGGAATGCCACAGGCATCAGTGCTGGAAATTTATTTATTGGATGTGGAAAGTGACTGTACTAGCCAGGTTTTTGGATGACACAAAATGGATGGGAAGCCAAGTGCATAGGAATGACACAACAAGTCTGCAGAAGCTCGTAGACAAGTTAAGTGAGTGGGCAAAAAAAAAAATGGCATATGGGAAAATGCGAGATTGTACACTTGGACACGAAGAAAAGTGGAGCTGAATAATTAAATGGAGAAAGACGGCCAAAAGCTACAGAACGTAGAGATTTGGAAGTCCTCGACAATAAATCACTCAAAACTACCATCCACTTCAGCAGGTAATGGGGAAGGCAAATGAAATTTTGGGGTTTATTTCAAAGAAAATGGAGTAGACAAGTAGGGATTTTTTGCTAGCACAATTCAAGGTACTGCACAGACCCACAGCTGGAATACTATGAGCAGTATTGAGTCCGTACCTAAGGAAAATTATACTGCAGTTGGAGGCTGATGAATAAGTTCACTAGGCTGATACTAGGCCTGACCTAAGAGAAGAGGTCAAGTAGGTTGTGTTAAGAAGAATGAGAGACAACTTTATTGAAACATACAAGATGCTTTGGGGACTTCTCAGGGTAGATGCAAAGAAGTTGCTTCCCCTTGTGGCACAGTCTAGGATCAGACGGCATAATCTCAGAGTAAGGGATCTAAAATAGAGATAAGGAGGAATTTCTTCTCGGAGGGTAGTGAATCTGTGGAACTCTTTACCACTGAGGCCTGTTGATGTTGGGTGGTTAAGTATATTCAGGGGAGATATGGACAAACTTTTAATCAGGAAGGGTCTCGAGGCTTATGGGGAAAGGAGAGGAAAGTGGTGCTCAGATCAGCCTTGCAGAAGCAAATTACTGCAGATGCTGGAATCCGAACTGAAAACAAAAATGCTGGAGATCGCAGTGGGTCAGGCAGCTTCCATGGAGTTGGAGAAAGCTAACATTTCAAGTCTAGATGACTCCTCATCATCTCTGACGATGAATCATCTAGACCAGAAAGTAACTGACGTTTCGCTGTATGAGATCACGCAATCTCTTTGAACGGCAGAGCAGACTCAATGGGCTGAGTGGCCTACCTCTGCTATGTATTATGGCTTTATTTTTGGATGCTGATTGGATATGGGATTGTTTGGCAAAATCGGAGTCTGGCTTCAGCCACATAAACCTCAAAGGTACAACAATGTAGAGCTAGGTTCAATATTGCTGAATTTGTTCTTGTCCTATTGCTAGGAATTTTTTAATGACCCCAAATTGCAAATGTCCAAAGTAACACTTCTCCCAGTTCTTTTACCATCTCTGGTGAACAAGCCCATGTATCGTTCATCCTTAATGTAATAGGGGACCTGTTTCACCATTGCATGTGTAGATTTTTAATAAGAGATATTGGCAAGTGACTATTCATTTAAAATATCCCCTTTCCCACTATGAGGGTGAAATGAATGCTGTATGAAATCTAGTGCTCACCATCTTGAAACTGGAATTTTTGCAACCTCTCAGATCTAGGAGCTACATTACAAGGATACTTCCTCATCTTTGGAGATGTTGGGAATAGAGATCAATTATTTCTTTTACCTAATTTGCTTCAGGTCACTTTTTACATTTCTAGATGTCTCTTGTGAACAATAATTCTTCATATGGTTGTACAAGCTTATTTTATTATCCTCTAGATTCTTAGGCCAAAATGATTGAATCTAGAAGTTATTCAGCCTCTAGTTATGAAGGTTGCTGCAAGGAATTGATGACAGACCAATGGAAGGGTGTGGGGGAAGGAAGGAAGTATCACCTAGTAACTTTATCTCTTTAAGAACCTTGGTTGCACATCCTGCCATTCTGATTTGGTGATTTGTCGCTGACCTTATTCTGTTCTATGCCTTAAAGCCTTATTCTAAGTTGCATCTTTGATTCACTAACTGTTGCCAACTTAATTGTCAATTATTGGTTGTGTAGGGGGCAAAGGTAATCAATTTTAATATTTTTGGCTTTTATTTCCCTCTACACATTAAAGTGTAGTTGTGTATATCCCTGCACTACTTTTTTCCTCAGAAATTCAGTATTAATAACGGAATATTGGTAGATAATTGTGCTGATAGGTAATCTTCTGGTACACTTGTGCTGTTGGCTTGATCTTTTATGTACTGTTTCTTACCAACTATAGCTGTGTCACAATAGAGCTGTGTGAATGCTGTTTGTATACAACACTCGGCTCTCTGTCTGGCTAGTCACAATTTGAATGTTCTGAGAAGCTAAGGGTGTATTTACACTCTTAACATGCTTCAGACACGTTTTAGAAAGTGCTCAGGAGACACAAGTGAGCAACTGAGAACCACTTTTATAAATCATGTTTGACACCACATTATGTGGTACCAAACCCTGAACTTGGGGGAGGTTTGAACTCTCTCTCTCAGGTCACTGTCTTTTTTTAGTTCTTTTCTGCTTCAAACCTCTCCCCAATTCTACCTAATACTCAGCGCAAATGACATATTCTAATCCATCTCACCAACCATCTATATTTAAAATTCTGGATTACTTCTTTATCCTGACCAGCTACAATACCTCACCCCTTCTATTCCCTTTAGAGAGAGCAAATTTAGCAATTTTGATCCTCATGATCAAATGACAGTACATTAAAATATGCTTAACATCTGCTGATTCAGTAGACATTTGGGCATGGTGAATTGATTAGTTTGAAGTCAAAGATGATGAAAATTAAACTATTTATTATATAGTGCAGGCACAAAGTTATAAATGTGTAGCCATGCCACATTAAACATGAAAACTATACTCGATTGTCTTTTAATTGCAGAAAATGTCAAATTGTTAGAGTACCAAAGTACAACATAACATGTAAATATTTTGATAAAGGATTTATAAATGAATGCTGCTATGTATAAGATTATTTGAGGGAATCCCCAACACACTGGTCTTTTGATAATAAAGTTTTATGATGTCAACAAACTTTGCAATATTTGTTTTAATTTGCAACATTTGTAGCACAGCTTTCATGTGGTACTATAAAGGATTGAGATGTTTCCAACAACATACTGACTGACAAATTGCATTTGTATATCACCTCTGATGTAGTAGAATAGGAACTTCCACGAGTGTTAGGCAAGATTCCGCCAGCTAAGGTATTAAATGAGAGAAATGCTTTAAAGAATCATTTTTCAAAAATCAGTTCATCCATGAAAT